TTGATTTCTACCCCCTGCCTTGTGTTAATTCCTAAGCAAATCCACTGATAGTCATAAAACAGTAAAATTTTTTTTGAGGATTATGATACATTTTGCCAAACTGCTCTCCACAAAGGATTTACAGGATATCAGATCCTCAAACAGCCACTTTCTCATCACTTCTACCCTGCTTTTATTGCTGGAAACCATCTGGCCAGACTGGTGGGGCTGAGATGCCTGCACGTGCATTGGGAGAAAGGGAGGGCCTGGACTCTGGATGGGTCAGAAAAGTGATGGGATCATCCAAATCAGTGAGATGGACATATGGAATTCTGGTCCTTGCTCCTCTCATAGGGGTCAGTGCCCTGTGACATGGGGTCTTGAAGTTTCTGGGGGAAAGAGACAGAGAACATTCAAATAACTGCTTTGCATTTCACTTTGGTGAGCAGTTAGGCCATGAAGGGTGGCATTTCTTCTTTCTTGAATTTCCTGTCCAAATCTTTAGCTTATTTGTCTTTTTCTTATTGACTTGGGTGACATATCAAGCCCTTTGTCTGTTGCCTGTGGCATAAATACGTTTGCAAGTTATCTATTTGTCTTTTACATTTTTAATGGTGGTTTTTAACACAGAGACATTTTAATTTGCAGGTAGTCAGAACTTCATATCTTCCAGTCTTTTCATTTGTAACTTCTGCCTTCTTTGTTGTGCATAAACCAACCTTCCCATCCCCAGATGGTATGACATTCATTTATATTTTCTTTAAGTTTGTTTCATTTCAAAATCTAGAAAATGTAGTTAATTTTGCATCCACAGGTATCTCTTCAGCAACCTGTAGGTATCTGTGGCTCAATCAACACTAACTCCCGGCCTCATGGACTCAGAACAGCTTCCAAGGGCTTCATCTTCATTCTTTCCATAGCTCTGGAGGAAATCTCAGGAGCTCTTCAATCGTTTAATTGTCCCTTTTTAAAGGAAAAGAATCTCATTAGTTGTGCCTATCTGGTCGGCACATCAGAAAATTTCCAGTTAAGAGAAACCTTTCCAAATGAGTAGGTTAATTCCTGTCTGACAGATGGGCTGTGGCATTTCCATAGAGCATGTGCACTCCATGTGGGCATGGACTTTCCTTTTGTTCCCTGCTATATTCCCAGGACCTAGAACAATGCCTTGATCACACTGGAGACTCAATGTATACTGTGCTTATTAAAAGAAATATAATGAACAACTATCAGGTATCCATTTTTGATGCAAGAAGGTAGTAACAAGGGGAAAATACTTATGTTGTCAGGTTAAAAAAGCAGCATATGGTTCTGAGTAACAGTATTCACCATTTATTCATTTGATAAATATTTATAAAACTGTGCTATACATGATGTGTTTTTCTGATGTAAAAATTAAATAAGTTACCTGCATTGCATTAATCTGCTTGAGCTTTCATAACAAAATGTCATGGAGAGTGTGGCTGAAACAACAAAATCTTATTTATCTTCGGTTCTAGAGTATAGAAATCCAAGATCAAGATGATTTGGAGGGATAACTTCTGGTGAGACCTCTTTCCTTGGCTTTCAGAGGACAGCCTTCCTTTTGTGTCCTCACACAATCTTTATTCCCAGCATCTCTTCTTAACAGGACATTAGTCCTATTGGATCAGTGCTCCCACACCTTTATTTATCATTGCTTGGCTCCTTACAGTTACATGAGAGTTGGGCTTCAACATATGAATTGAGAGGGACATAAGTCAGTCCATAATAGAAGTAAAGTGCTTAGAAATAATGCCTGTTACCAAGTACCAGATAAGTGTTAGATATTATTATTGTTACAAAATATACAAGACTTAATTGTTTATCTTTGGGGGATGAGATTACAAGTGACTTTAATTCATACTTTTCTGTATTTTCCAAAATTTCTACATTGAAAAATTTTATTAATCTGGGGGAAAATACTCCTATTCAGTAAAAGTCACAGGTATTCAATAAATGACAGGGGGTCTTGCAGGTTTAGAGGTGGTCATTTGACTAAGATGACAAAGGGCATCAGAATAATGGCTAGATAGTCCGGATACCCAAAAGCCTCTAGATCAGCACTTCCTTGTACCAATCAACATAGAAAGGAGCAGAGGCTTATCCAGGGCTGAATGGCATGAAGGAGTTGGAGTGGATGGGGGGCAGTGTTGTTTGCTCTACTTTGATGCCTGGTATGTTAGTCAACTTTCCATTGCTATGATGAAATACCTGAGAAAAACAACTTAATGGAGGAAAGGTTTATTTTGGCTTACAGTTGACTTCTGTGTCGAAGTCAGACAGAGAGCATCATGTGGAAAGGGCATGATGGAGCAGAGTTGCTTACCTCAGTTGGAAAGTAGAAAGAGTAAGAGAAAGGGGCTAGAGACAAGATATATCCTTCAAAGTCACACCACCAGAGACCTACTTCTTCCAACTAGGTCCCAGCTCCTAATAGCCTATTCAGCTATGAACTCATCAAGGTATTTATCCACTGATGAAGTTAGCACCCTCATGATACAATCACCTCTCAGTTGTACCACCATCTGGACCAAGTCTTCAACACCTGAGTCCTTTGTGGGGACCCTTCAAACCATAACACCTAGCAACATGAAACCAGGAGATCTTCCCAGGGTTAGGCTAGGATTATCCTTCTATCACCAGGCTTATAATGATAGATTGATGTCATTGCTGCTTCTGATTTGTCTCTCCTGCCTCCCAGTTCCCAGCAGACGACTGGACACAAAACACATTGTGGCGAACATTTGTTGAAAGAAAAAAAATGAATGAATGGAAGTAAGGAGGCCACAACTGCTGTGTGGTATGTAGTAAGCCTGATCTGGTTGTCTCTGTGTCTTGGTTCTCACCTCTGAGTTTCATGGCTGCTGGGCCCAGGAAGTCTAGAGGCTTCAGAGTCACATCTTCCCAGGCCCAATGATGGTCGATGGAGAGGTGGAATGAGACATTGAGAGCCCAGGACAGAAAAGGGACAGCCCCTTACTCAGTGGAGGGAACAGGTCTAGAGGTGAAAGAGACCTAGCATGATCCTACAGCTAACCCAGAGCCTTCCTGTCTCAATCCCTCAGGAGAAGCCAAGTCATGCTCAGAGGAAAACAGAAAAATACTCATGTAAGCTTAATCAGCCATAGCTCCAGCACAGGCTTTTGAATTAAAATATGCACAAGGTGCAGAGACATCTGTTGGAAGAGTAACCGGATGCGACATTCTGCAGGAGGCCAGGCTAAATGTATCCCATGACATCACTCTGGGGAGGAGGCTGCCAGGAGCCACACAGGGGCCTGGAGTGCTACTGCAGCTGACTACTGCAGAGCAGCACTGGGTCTGGGGCTTGTTGACTAGCTCCTGGGCCCCTGCTTTGTGAAGAAACACTGTCTTGACCCCTTAACCTATGGAGAAATGTCTCCCATTCCCCTAGGCCAATTTGATCTGGAGAGATCCATCCAATCTTCTGGTTCTTCCTGGGTTTCTTCTTCAGCACCAGCAGGTGTTTGGTTAGTTTGATGCCAGTGGAAGTGGAGGGGGGATTCCGACAGCCATGTTACCTGCTGGGAGGGATCCTGCCACACAGTCACTGTGACACCTTCATGAAATGGCCTTACCAAGTTTGAGATTCCAGGAAAAATCCTTGCCAGGATGTGCCTGAGTTCAAGTAAGAGCCACTCTTCCAGGATCCAGAAGCTGTAGTGGGGAGAGGGTCCTACTGTAAAGACTGGAAGTGGCATGCCTGCAGATTTACACCTCTATAAGGTTCACACAGGCCAGGGCACACACATGTCATATTCATATTACAGATACAAGGTCCCCCCACACACTTGCAGCCCAGCTGCACACAGAGCAGGGGTCTCACCTATCTGTCTACCTTCTGCTCCCTGAGCTCTGTTCTGTGGTCCCACCCTCTTCCTCCAGGGTTCTGGTCTTAGCCCAGGCTTGGCCTTGGAGGGCCTCATGTAGAAAGGGTTGGGCTGCCTGAGCGCTGTCCTCGGTGCTGGAAGCCTAGTGGGACACACAAATTTGAGAACAAGGAAGAGCTTTGGGAGGTGAACTTGAAATCCAGGTATAGAGCTCTCTGGAAGCCCCATCTGAATACCTACCCTTATTCTTTCAGAAAAATGTGCAACTAGGTTTCCTCTTTTCAATCCAAGGCACTGAAACAGAGAGAGTCTAACCCTTCAGTCCAGCAGTCACCCATCTGAGACTGTAGGTATGAGAGGCTTGAGACCTCATGTGTCACATATGGTATTAAAATCATGATTGTCTGTGTTTGCATGGGACATCTGTGATTCCATGTAGCATGCCTGTGACTGGTGACCACATATGTCAGCTGGAGACCACATGAGGCCTTTGTGACCTTGTGTAGCCTCAGCCCTGACCTTGTGCATCCCCATTTGATCTGGGCACCATCCAGTCTAGCTGGCTCCCTTCATCAAAACCTAGATAGATCTTCCTCTCCCCCTCTCCCCACTGGCTTACAAATGTGTTACCTGGTGGCTCCCTGTGTCTGCAAACTCCAGTCCGAGGAGGCTGTCAGCATCAACTGCCCATCAGCCCATCAGCGTGTGCACCTCCTGGGATAAATGACCATGCTGCCACTTTAGCCTGCCTAGCCATGACACCCAAGGCGCAGGTCGCGCGGTTGGGTCGCGCGTTGGTGGGGTAGGTGGTGACGGCTTGTCGCCCGCCTGCAGGTGCAGGGACAGCCCGTTTCCCCAGAACGTTGGGGGCGGGGGCAGAGAGAGTTGGTTCGTGTTGCGGTCAGACTCCTCCCCGGCTCGGGGCTCGGCGGTTCCCAGGAGGCGGCTGTCTGCGCGGGCTGGCGGCGCCCGTGACCCCGCGGGGCTGCGGGGCTGGAGTGCGGCTCCGGTGCGGGGCGCGCTCCGCACCCTCCCCCTCCCTTCTTCTCTGCAGCGGCGCGGGGAGGCGGGGGCTGCGGAGCGGGAGGCGGGGGCTAAAAATACCCGGCAGCGGCTGCGGCGGCGGTGGCGCGGCTGCTCTGGGCTGCGGGGCTGCGGGCCCCGGAGGCCGTGCGGGGCCAGGCTGGGCCCCGCTGACCGACATGCTGACCTTCTTCCTTGTGTCGGGAGGCTCCCTTTGGCTATTTGCGGGTAAGTCCCTGTCCGGTCCCAATCGGTCCCCGACCTCCATCTTCGGTACACTGGGGTGTCTTGGCCCAACGTGCGGGTGTTACATACCCGCAGCCGCCGAGCCCCAGTCGCTGGCTGCTGAGCTGCCTTCAAGGTCCCCGGGCAGCCCACAGTTCCGGCGGGCTCCAGGCGGTGTTTGGAAAACAGCAGGGTCTGCAGAGATATGCGGCCTTGCTTATGGCGACCCCACTACCTCCTTTCAATTCTCGCTCCCCTCTCCCCTTATGGCAAGGACTTGCTGATCAGATTAGACCCTGAGCCAAGGCAGGGATGGACTTATTCCGGCCTTATCATCTCCTGCCACCAGAAACTTAGGGTGTTGGCCCCCAAGGTCCTGCAGTAGGTCAACGATGTACCCGGGCTTCCTGACCCCTGCTGGTCCTTCAGCCAGAATACAGGGTTTTTGTAAAGCAAGTTCAGCTGCCTTGTTGGCTTTGCCCAGGGCTGTATCCCCAGCCCTCACCCCTCCCCGTCTCCCCTGCACCCTGTTAGGAGGCCAGGGTGACCTCTGCTGGATCCCTGCCCAGCTATTGCCCCAACCCACAACACTCATACCTGGGGTCTGGCCCTGGTCTACGGGGCCTCAGTTCTGCCTGCACAGGCCTCACCCCTCTCTGACCCTCCAAATCTTCAGCTCTCTAAAGGGTCTCTACTTCTCCCAGCTGTGAGGTACTTGACCCTTAAATTGCTTTTACATCTGGCCTAGCCCAGAGGAAATGCTCTATGAACGTTAGTCTTTATTATTTCACAAAGGACACATCAGAGGTGGTGACAAAGTTCTTTCTGAGCCGAAAGAAGGGAGGACGTTGACTGTTTTGAGATCCTTACCTGAGGTTTTTCATGTGTAGTTTAATATTCACAGAAAATTCTAGATAAGTGGTGTCATCTTATTTTTTATTGAGGTTCAGAGAGGAATTAACTTGCCCAATGTCACATGAATAATATCTGGGATTCTCTCTGAGGTTTAAATGATCAACCTATGCCAAGTGCTTGGTTGTACCTGATCTGAACCTAGGGGGTTGGTGAGCCAGGTAATCACTTTCTCCCTCCTCCAACATTCCCCTGAGTTAGGCTACAGGATAGTTCCCCTGAGCTGGGAGAGTAAGACCTCTCTAATCCCCTCATCTCCCTAAGCTCCTTCTGTCTGCCAGTGTGATGACAGGCTGTGCAGGGCCCCTCTGTCCTGATTCACACTCGATAGGCAAGGACAAGGCTAGAGCTGGGATCAAGGGTGATGATGATGATGATTTTTATTGTCCAAGTGATTCATGGTCTCAAAGCCTCTTTCTAGTGCCAGGATCACTTTGTTGTACCCTCTTGAGGAGGCCCTACCTAGCCATGGGCCCAAAGGCAGTTCTCCAAAGGCTTGGTCTTCTGTGGCAGCAAGAGGGAATCTGGAGGCTTTTCAAGTGACAAGAGTCATCAGCAGCATGTGAGAAAAGCCCCTTATGGTGTGGAGTTCTTGTCTATAAGTGGAGTTCTATCTCTGACTTAGATGGGCCTTCTCTTCTGCCTTCTTGTGGACCTTTTCCCAAAGTGTTCAGGTGCCTCCTTGAGTATGAAAAGGAGAGAAGGGTATTGGCCTCACTGAGGTCAAGCAGGGATACTCTTGGGCAACTGCTTTCACAGAGGCCAAGCTGAGGCTGGAGGTATGGCTCTCATTGAATGGAATACCCAAGATACATGGTGGGACTTTCCTAGGTCATGGGTCCATCTTCCTTGGGACTTAGCTTGGACTCCAGCCTTTCTCTGGGGGCAGAAGGGACTACTGGGCTAAGAACTGCAGTTTAGGGAGAGTACATGTGCGAATGAACTCTGCCTTGTAATTCAGGGTCCCTGGCAGTTTGCCAGTTCCCTTCTATACAGCCAGAAACAGGAGGGGACCCTCAATGCAGCACCACTCTTTAATAGAGCTATATGCTTTTTACCACCTAATCTGGCTCTAGGGAAACAAAGCAGGGCTGAGCAAGGGCTACCCTCAAGGGCTGTTGGGGAAAGAATGATGCAAAGGAGCAGGGGGGAGCCGCCTGTAGGAAGCAGCCCTGTGCTTTGGGCAGGCCCATATTGCATTTGTGTGTTAAGTAGTGAACAAGGAGACAAGTAGAATAGATCAGCATAAGTCAGATGCTAGGCCTGGTGAGAGAAAATGTGCCCTCAGTGCCATAAGCACTCAGGACAAGGGGAGTAATTAACTGGAGCTTGTGTCTGCCTATTTGCAAGGTAGAGTGAGACATCATTTGTGGTGGAGACATTTCTAAAAGGGAGCCTCTTCCTCTAGGCTGACGCAGCCCTTGTACAGAGTCTAGTCTGCTCAACTCAGACCTGACAACCAGTGACACCAGAGTGGGCTTCTGCAGGACACAGGGCCATTGGTCAGAGGGAGGTAGACCAAACTCCAAATAGGGGAAGTCAGACCAACAAAAGTGTGCAGAACTGTGATGAGGACTGAGTCTTCAGTCTTGTACTTTGGGAACCTGGGTTGTGGGAGTGGGTCCTAGAGGAGAGAAGTTTATTGAGGTGGGGGGGTGATAGAGGAGTCCTCTGTTTAGCCACAGTGGCCATGCTGAGTCGTGGGGAGTGGAGGAGTAGTTACCAGGGATGTGGTGGGAAGCTATTAATGATGTTACATGAGAACTGATTGGCTCAAAGATGGCCTGAGTTGAGGCAGGACTCCAGAGAGAGAAGAGATGAAGCCTAGCTCTGCCCCCTGCCCTAGAAGACATAGGGCTGGCCCTGCTGGGCTAAGCCAGGGCTGCCAGAGACCGGTATGGCAGGCTACAGTTGCTAGGCAATGCAGACTTGCATGCTGTGACTCAGCTCAACCCCTCAGACCCTATCTCCACTGTTAGGATCCACTAGGAAGAGACTGGCAGGAGGTCTGGGGCTACCCTAGGGGACCCAAGAAGGCAGCTAAGAATTGGGACCAATGGTAGAGCTCCAGGCAAAACAGGCAGCTGTCTGGTTAGCTGGGGATATGCCTCACAAATGAAAAAAGTGTGGTTTTGCAAAGGCTCCATCACCATGCAGGAGGATTCTGACCTCAGCACCTTTTTGTCACTCTCCAGCCTGCTCCAGCCAAAGTACACTGACACCAGGGGGCAGCAGAGTCCAGCCATTCTGCTCTAGAGCTGGTTTTTCTGACTTTTGTGATTCTAAGGACTCTTAGGTTGACCTTCAGAAGGCTGAATTTAGCTCAATTGCAACCCCTAATAGGATCTCTGCTGACCCATAGACAGGGTGAGTAAGAATGAGGCACTGACTTGTTTGCACAAAGAAACAAAAGTTATAGACTTTTGTATAACAGAAACTGCACTGTGTATCTAGCCAGCACCTATCACAGAGTAGGCACTCAGCTATTCATTGATTGAAGTACTGGTTGATCTACTACCACACCACCCTGAATATGCCTGGTCTTGTCTGAAGTACAGAGTGTGTGTGTTGGGGAAGGTGTTGCAAACATGCTGACAGCTGCTTTCAAGCACAGTAGGTGCTTGGTTGTGCATGTTCTGTGATTCTGCAAGCTTCCCTTCAGTCTTCCCACAACACTGTGATACTGTTATCCCCACTTACTAGGTAAAGCACAGAGACCCAGGGAGATTTAATGGGAAACAACTTGCAAGAGCTGAAGACCTGAAGTCCAGAGGAGGTCCAGGATTCCAACATGCAGAAAGGAAGTAGAGAAAGAAAAGGTTGCCAGGCCTCTGTCTAGAGGAACCTGTGTGAAGAAAGATTGGTAATAAGACAAATTCTGCTTGGCCACTGAGGCTGCCAGGGCTCTGCAGGCCTAGAATGCCATGAAAACCATGTTGATCTTATTCTCTGTGGTAGTTACATCAAGAAGAGATGAGCCAGGTGCCTGTGGCTCATGCCTGTAATCCTAGCTACTTGGGAGGCTGTGATCAGGAGAACTGTGGTTTGAGGCCAGCCAGAAAAATAGTTTGAGATACTCAATCTCCAAAACAACTATAGCAAAATGGATTGGATGTATGACTCAGTGGTAGAGAGCCTGCTTTGCAAGTGGGAATCCCTGAGTTCAAACCCTAGTCCCACCAAAAAAAAAGAAAAAGAAGATATGGCTCTGGCCAGACACAGTGGTACATACCTGTAATCTCAGTTACTTGGGAGGCAAAAGTAGGGAGATCACAGTTAGAGATCCTATCTGACAGGCAAACTAAAGCAAAAAGGGCTGGGGCATGGCTTAGCCTGAGTTCAATCCCCAATCCCATCAGAGAGAGAGAGAGAGAGAGAGAGAGAGAGAGAGAGAGAGAGGTATGGCTAAGGTGATACCATGCCTGAACTCCACAAACATCCCCAGTGATACATGTTCCACTGAACTTCAGTCTTGGGCCTTCTTCACAAGTCCTTTGGTCTTTCCAAGGGTAAGGTTAGGGTGTCTCATCTCTGTGCTCCCAATCCACGGCTGAACATGTAGTATGCATCAGTGTTTATTGCAGAAATGAATGATAAACAGAATTCCCTGAACATAATTTATTTTTAATACTGGTATATTTTATAAACTGTTTTCTCACAAGTCAGTTAGCAAGCAACAGGCTTTGAGTGCATGCCCACTATGATGCCAGGCTCTGTGCCCAGCTTAGGGATGATGTCAGTATGGCAGAAGCAGCAGGGGAAAGCAGGTGTGCACTCCTTGCAGGAAGGGCCAGGTCAACCTTTAGTGGAGAACCCTGAGTGCTGAGAACCAGTGCAACCTAGAAAAGAAGGAGAGACTCCAAAAGTATTTGATGAAGGAATGAGTGGAGGGATGACCCTTGGCTGCAGGGGAACTGGTTTTGTGTAATCTTCTCTGTTGTTTCCTTGGAGCTCCAAGGTTCTGGCTTTGTGGTAGGCTGAGAGCTCTGATTACTCTGCCATGCATATCTGAGAGGAATCCCCAGTCAAGGCTCTTACCTCATGGATGGCCTGGTGTGACGGCCCCATTTCGTGCCAGAGTTCTGTCTAAC